ATACTTGCTGTAGTTCAAATCGCGCAGGTCGGGCGGCACACGGAAATACTGACCACGGTCTTCAGAGCATGCCATTTCTTCCCTGCTCAAGAGCGCTTCGTACAGTTTCTCGCCATGGCGGGTACCAATAATCTGGATAGGGTGCTCCGGAACACCTAGCATCGCCGTTAAGGCGCGAGCCAGCGTTTCTACGGTGGCTGCGGGCGCCTTCTGGACGAACAAATCACCATTGTTTCCATGTTCGAACGCATAGAGAACCAAATCCACGGCATCCGCCAGCGTCATCATGAAACGCGTCATGCTCGGGTCAGTGATCGAGAGTGCTTTGCCTGCTCGAATCTGATCGATAAACAATGGAATGACCGACCCTCGGGAAGCCATGACATTACCGTAGCGAGTGCCGCATATGACGGTTTTGGCTTCGTCGACATTGCGAGATTTCGCAACCATGACCTTTTCCATCATGGCCTTGGAAATACCCATGGCATTGATAGGATACACCGCCTTGTCGGTACTCAAGCAGACAACGCGCTTGACCTCGTTCTGAATAGCCGCCTCAAGCACGTTGTCAGTGCCAATGACATTCGTCTTAACTGCCTCCATCGGATGAAATTCGCAGGAAGGAACTTGCTTGAGGGCAGCCGCGTGAAAAATGTAATCAACGCCTCGGGTGGCGTTCAGAACGCTTTGGTAGTCGCGTACATCGCCAATGTAAAATTTCAACTTGGGGTTGTTGTAGTGCTTACGCATATCGTCTTGTTTTTTTTCATCACGACTGAAAATGCGAATTTCACTAATTTCGGTATTCAAAAAACGCTTTAAAACAGCATTTCCAAAAGAACCCGTGCCGCCAGAGATGAGTAGTTTACTTCCTTCAAACATAATTTACCTCAAACCGCGCATGCAATTTTGAATATGAAAAAGGCCTAACAGGGCCTGAGTGAAAAGCTCCAAGGGTAGGAGCGATGTGCGAACAGGGCGATGACGAAATACCTTTAAGCGGTGAGGGAGCAAAACGCACATACGAGTCTCGAACCTGAGGTCGATCGCGCTGGCCCTGCAAACATGCCTCACCGGACGTAGCACCAGAGGCGCGCATCATTGCCAAACACTACCAAGCAAAAACGCCAGCCGGCCTTAGGTTTGAGCGCGAGTTTAGCACGACATCCCCCTTGAAAAGCACTGCACCCAACCGACAGGGAAGAGCACCGGCCTCGTGAAGGTCGAGTCGTAAAGCGCCAGGTATCACTGGAGATCGCAGGTATGCCGTGAAAAGCACACCTCACGCTGCTCAAATCCGTAGTGAAACCAGGAGCCGCTGCAGGCAGCACTTGCAGGTTACCACACGCCTCCGAAAGGGGAGGAGCATCCACATCCACACTTGAAGTCCGCAGGGTTGTGTGTTTAGCGATTACAGAAAAAACCCACACAAATGTTTATTGAAAAAAAGACCGGAACGTGATTCTGGATTGTGGGAGAATAAAAGCAAGCAACCCTTACAGCATCTGAAACAATGACCGAAAGTGAGTACGGTGAATTGACACAAAGTACAGCGCCCGAAACTGTAGTAAAGCTATCGTTGGTGGTACCCGTTTTCAACGAGTCAGATACCGTCGCCTTATTTATCGATTCGGTCTCGAATGTGTTTGCGGCCGAGTCGCTGATTGATCTTGAGATTCTGTTCATCAACGATGGGAGCACCGATGACACGCTGTCGCGCCTGCTCAAGCTGCAGAGTGCTGACTCTCGAATCCATATAGTTGATCTCAGCAGAAACTTCGGCAAGGAAGCCGCTCTTACGGCAGGACTGCAGCTGTGCTCGGGGCAAATAATCGTGCCCATCGATGTTGATCTGCAAGATCCTCCGCAACTGATTCCCGCAATGGTCGCCAAATGGCGAGAAGGCTTTGAGGTTGTCCTCGGCCGTCGTACCGACAGAAACTCGGACTCTTGGGCCAAGCGCTCTTCGGCGAATTGGTTCTATCGCATCCATAACAAAATGACCAGCTCGAAAATACCGGAAAATGTAGGCGACTTTCGCTTGATGGACCGGTGCGTCGTGGAGGCACTCAAAGAACTTCCCGAATCGAGACGGTTTATGAAAGGGCTTTTCGCATGGGTGGGCTTTAAAACCACCCACATCGATTATGCCCGGCCTCAACGCTCTGCCGGTACAAGCAAATTTAACGGCTGGAAGCTGTGGAACTTCGCGCTTGAGGGTATTACCAGTTTCAGCACTGACCCACTTAAAATCTGGACCTATCTGGGATTAGTGTTTTCTGCTATCTCGTTTCTGCTCGCCATCTTTATTGCTTTGAAAGTTATAGTTCATGGCATTGATGTGCCTGGCTATGCGTCTCTTATGGTCGCGGTGACCTTTTTAGGCGGATTGCAATTAATCGGTATCGGTATCCTCGGTGAATACTTGGGCAGAACGTACATAGAATCGAAACGACGCCCAGTATTTCTCGTGCGTCAAATTTACGGGAGCAAGAACTGATTTATGGACCTTAAAGAAACTGAAATTCTGGGTGATACTATTAATGACCATTGGTATTACAGTTCAAAAGTAAAAGCTGTGGAAAAATTCCTAGGCAAAACACCAGTTAATCGAATTTTAGATATTGGCGCAGGGTCTGGTTTTTTCTCAAAGTACCTGCTCACAAACACAACTGCGAAGGAGGCCTGGTGTGTTGATATTAGCTACGAACGGGAATCGGACGAAACCTACGCGGGCAAACCGATCTTCCTGCGAAAAGCAATAGAATCCGTTGACGCCGACCTCGTTATGCTCATGGATGTACTTGAGCACGTTGACGATGATATTGGCCTATTAACGGAATACGTAAAAAAAGTCCCCAAAGGCACTAAGTTCTTGATAACCGTTCCCGCCTTTCAATTTTTGTGGAGTGGGCACGATGACTTTTTAGAGCACAAACGTCGCTACACCTTGCAGCAACTTGAATCCGTAGTGAGCGTATGCGGACTGGATTTGCAAAAAGGCGCTTATTTTTTCGGGGGCGTATTCCCGGTTGCAGCCGCGCTTCGGCTGACTGACCGCTTTCGATCGAAAGAACGGGTGCAAAAATCTCAACTGGCACAACATAGTCACATTACGAACGTCGTCCTGAAAAGCATCTGTACTTTAGAAGTATCCGTGATGAATTTTAACCGGATTGCAGGCCTCTCCGTGTTTTGCGTTGCACAAAAACCATAAGTGGAAAATGCCGTGGACATAGCGAAGGGGACCATGCGGTGATCGGCCAAAATGACGAAAGAAAAAGGGTGCTGCGCTTTTGTGCTACGGGCCTGCTTATAACCGCCTTACATGCATTTATCGTTTGGGTCATGGTGGGCCTATTCCTGACCCCCCCCCCACTATCCAATGGCGTTGCGTTTATCATCGCCACCATGACCTCCTACACGATCAATACACTGTGGAGCTTTTCCCAACCATTGCAGAGGCCCACGCTTTATAAATTCATCTGCGTATCAGTAATAGGTTTTATTGCCTCCATAGCCATAGCCTGGATCGCTCAAATGTTTGGGTTGAATTATCTATTAGGCATTGTCGGAGTTGTTCTAATAGTTCCCGCCCTGACATTTGTACTGCACAGCAACTGGACATACCGCAAGCCTAAGCAAGAATAACGCGATCGCCTATTCCATTTTGAACACTCACATCTTAAGGACTTAGGATGTACTCTCTGAAAGCATTGTTTTTTGATAAATCCTGGACGAATATAAAAGAAAAAAGCTTCCAGATAAAACTCGCAGCCTTCAGCACGAACTTTGCTATCGCAATGACACTCGCTATTGGACTGGTCGGCTTCCTGACTATGGGCACAGACCTGTGGGACGGTGTAATTGTCTCACATGCCGTTTCCCTTGAGCGACCCGATGTATACCATGAGTGGTTCAGTGAAGCGGGGTTATTTTTTACCCCATACATTTACGACTTCATTTATCTTTTTCACAAAGCCGTAAATTACGAACTTCTTGCAAAAGTCTTCACTGTATTTTTTCTAATACTGTCTGCAAGAGAGGCGGCCAACGTAGCATCAAAGTACTTTGAAATTCCCCGGCAGATACGTTTTTATACTGCGATCTTATTTTACTTATCCCCTGCTTGGGTTCTTTATTATTCAAATATCTATTTGATGCACTCGCTAACGTTGTTTGCGACGCTAATCTGCACCCGATATATTATTGACCGAAAAGCAATGGCGCTGTGCATCCCCTTGCTTCTCTTGTCTTTCCAACAGTCCTCGAATGCGCCACTCTCTATATCACTGATATTACTAAGCTGTGTATTCCACCACACTACCGCAAAAGACAGGATTATAAATTTTGGCATTATAGCTCTCATCACTGTCGGTTTTTTTGCGCTCAGAAAGCTATTCCCGACCCACGGACTCTATGAGACTTACAACGAAATTCATTTCAAAAACATTTTCAGCATCCACAACTACCTTAGCCTGACAAAGTATTTTGTACTCCTTTACTTTCCGAGTTTTATTGCGGCAAGTTTGGCCTTATATTTTCAGCCGAATAAAAAAACACTGTCTGTACTCTCGGTTGTCTTTTTGGGAATCCTATTCAATGGCGTTGCGTATATAGCAGTCAATAAGATTCCGAGCTTGTCAGAAATTGGATTGATGCACGGCGAGTCACTACGCTTTACATTCACCAGCACTATTTTTGCAATTCTATTACTCCCTGCGATTTGGCAGTCGCTGTCGGAAGTGCCCCGATTAAGGTTCCTGACACTTACAGTAATATTGATACATGCGTGCATAATCAACATTTACGCACATGAGGGAAAAATGAAAGAGGTGCTATTTCAGCGCGGACTGGTTCACGAAATAAAAAAACTTCCCCCTCTCCCTGCCTGTGCCATCAACATCCAAAGCACAGGCGTCGGAACATTAACAAATTATGAATATGGGCACATATTATACCGAGTCTACGGCGTAACGAATCAATTACCACTAGGAGACTCAACGGATCCAGCCGACGACGTCAAAGTGCTTTACGAGAGATTCACTAAGGAAAGCTATAAGAAAAAGTACTTCATGCCTACACATATGCCGAAATGCATTGTCAGCATGAAAGTCAGTACCTCGGTGGGAACCTGGGGATTCGGAAAGACCTTTACTAAATATCTCTCAGATGACCACGGCGCTATAGTAGCTGTATCGATTTCTGGAACAGACCCGCTATAACCCTAATCGCAGTGGAAGAGTCTTGTGTAAAGAATCAATCTTCTACTGCGATAAATAAATCAATGTGTAGAATGTAATGCCGAGAAAATAAACTTCTCTTTTTGAGTGATATCGGGATAGCTAATGAGCACTGCTCGATAAGGCCCTTTAAAAACAAAAAAACTACCGGCCGCAACCCCGACCACGCCACAACTCGATATCACAGCCCTCATATCCTCTAAGGACCCCGCGCCGCCAAGGATCGTCACAGGAGTATTTACAGCCTTGCGCAACTGCAGTAATAGCTCGAGATCGTAACCTTTCATGCGACCGTCGTTATCGATAGAGTTAATGACAACTTCTCCTGCACCCAGCGCCTCCATCTCTTTGGCCACATCGAGTACATTACGTTTTGTATTGACCTTGCCATTATGCGTCCAGACATCATGTTGCTTGCTGAGCAGACGCTTTTTGTGATCTAGCACTACAACTACACTTTGGCGACCAATCTCATTCGCTATTTGAGTCACCAACTGCGGATTTCCCAAAGCGGCAGAACTAATGGCCACTTTTTCTACGCCGGATGCAATTATTTTCTGGGCCTGACCCACCGTGCTTATGCCGCCACCGTAACAAAGTGGCATTCGGCATTCTGCGGCCAAAATAGCTATTTGTTTATAATTAGGTTCACGGTCAGTAACTGTAGCGTCGATATCCAAGACGATTAGTTCATCAGCCTCTTTCTCGTTGAAAATCTTCACCGCATTGATCGGGTCCCCCACATACTTGGAGTCCTTAAAGCGTACTGTTTTAACCAACCCGCCGTCTTGAATTAATAAACAAGGAATAATTCGAGGTCTTAACATTTCATAGTTCCGCGAAATTTTTAAGAAGCGCGACACCAAAGTGATGGCTTTTTTCCGGGTGAAACTGGACGCCGTAGATATTATCCACAGAAACCGCGCAGCTGAAATTAAGGCCATACTCGGTTCGAGCAGCTTCATGCACCTTTTGCGCACACTCAAAATAGAAAGAGTGAAGGAAGTAGAACCTTGCCTCCAACTCCAATCCTTTAAACAAAGAATGCCCAGGTTGCGACTCGATGTCATTCCACCCCATATGCGGCAGTGGCAAATGGGACAGTCCTGTCACTGAGCGAAAATGTCGCACGCGCCCCGGAACCCACCCAAGACCAGGAAGTAAACCCTCTTCACTGCTGTCCGCAAGCATTTGCATACCCACACAAATACCAATGACAGGAATCTTTCTTACTAGAACCAATTCATCAAGCGTCGCCCGCATTCCTGAAGCGTTCAACTGCTCCATGGCGTGGTCAAATGCACCGACTCCTGGCAGGATGAGCTTGGTGGCCGCACTTAGATCCTCCGTCGTTCGAGCAACGGTTACAGGAATGTGCAAGCGCTTATACACATTCACAAAAGCCTGGATATTTCCTAGGCCATAATCAATGATCGCGATCATCTAAACAGCCTTCTTTCCAGCCCCAGTGCAGACAAAACACGGGCTCCCAGTCCAATCATAAAGCGTTTGTTCTTGTAGTCATGAAAGGTTTTATTTTTTCCGTCAAACAGTTCCTGCAGGCCCGCGACAGTTAAATCTAGCTTGCTTGCAACATATTCAAATTCCGATTTCAGGAATTGCTCGTCCAGTTCCGGCTTGGAAATACGCTCCAGCGCGGCTTCACGTGTCATTTGCCCGGTCATGATAAGGCTGGAAAAATGCGCGCGGCGTTTCTCATAGCCGAATTTACGAGGCATCCAGTAATCCTCATAAAACCGGGTAAAACGCGATTCATGATGTTTGTGCTGAAACTTCTTCCAACCAAACAAACGCTCAAGAGTCGCCTCAGCATCGTGCTTAATGTAAGGCACCAAATTCAGCGGACGTACCACCTGCATGCCCAAAACGTAACGGTAGTAAATCTTGTAGGCCAATACATCTACAATCGGAAAGCTCTTCAACTTCCGTGAACCGAACTGGCGGTGAATATCATTGATCAGTGTTTTGTCGATACCTGGATAGGCGCCCCACTCCTCTGGCTCGCGGCAGCACTCAGTAGAGAAATTCCCACCCGTGAGTACGTACTTGATTTTGTGAGCCTTGGCGAACTTGTATAAGCCAGAGAAGAAGGCGGTGTCTTGTGGTATATCCTGATCGGCCACCTGAGCCTTGAGAAATGCAAGTTGAAGGCTTTTCATCTCTTCCCAGTTGATCACTTCGGTGTACAGATCCAGCCCCAAGCCATCAACCAGCTTCTCGATGTTGCCAACTGCCTGATCTGTGTTCCATCCAGCGTCAACGTGGAAAAGCAAGGGGCGCAAGCCCATTACCTCCTTGGCAACGTACACAAGATAAGAACTGTCCAACCCACCGCTCAAACCAATAATGCAATCAAAATCACGCCCCTTACCATCGGCCTTGATTCGATCAGCAATTCTCATCAATTGCGCTTCACCCCGGACATCGACGTGCCAGTTGGGTTGGATGTTCGTGCGAAAATTACCACAATATTCGCAGCTTCCCTGTGCATCGAAGCTGATGTGAGGGTCGGACGTATCCATGATGCACGTGTTACATATTTGGTAGCTCATGATGCCCCCTTTTCAAATCCTGCTATTGACCTCAAGGGCGCTCCAAAAACCTACGCACGGAGCACTCATCCTTTAAAAATAATACTTGTTTTCCAAGCGCTTTATACTCGTATCCCAGAAACGAATCGTAAGACACCTGAAGGTGGCAATCCGGGAAAACCCCAGATTCAGCAACACAGTCAGCTAACGAAACCAACTGGGTAACCGAATCATCGTAGACATGACGTGGGTGCAGCTTCACCACGATAAAGAAATCAAACCTTTGTTTGACACGCTTGAGAAAGTCAACCTCGGCACTCAAAAATGGTGCTGAAGAAGCAAGGAAAAGTACTTCTTTCTCACTGCCCATGTCCACGAGCGCCAGCTTAGGTCTAATGATATCAGTTCTTCTAAACTGATAATATCGTGAAAAAACCGCTTCAAACTCCTGATCAAATACAAATAAACAGTCAACCTCGCCAAAAGCGTAAGAGAAATCGAGGTCTGGGTGTATGTACGCGTGCTGGATAATCGAACATTCCGCCATAAGGTGCGTTGCAAGATAGTCCCATCGTTGCAGATTGCAGTCGGTCACCACCTGCCTGCCATTCTCTGATAGCTTTACAATAAATAACGAGTAGCAGACGAGTGGAAGTAGGTCCACCGCGTGAAAAATAAGGTCTTGTCGCCGCACCCCATGGTGCTGTTGATATCGGAAAATGGACCAAATAACCCGCCATACCGTTAAGAGGGCACGCAGATAATCCTTGGCACCTAGATAGCGCAGCATCGCCCAAGGGTGTCGGCATTCGAATCTGACTCGTGTATTGCAATCATCGAACAAATAATGAAACAACTTGAGATGCGCGGTATTGGGTAGGCAAACCAATAGTGGCAAGTCTTTCACTCGCCTTCGCCAGAAAGGTAATATGGCCGCGAACGCCATTAGCAAATTGCTAAGCGCTGCTAGCGCTAGCACAGGCAAGATTAAAAATCTTAGAGCCGACAACAACCACAGCATCGGTCGGCCGTAGCGCCTGCATAATGACAGCAACGGCATAATCTTGTACTGGGGTAAGGCATCTGCGATGGGGTCCGACGCGAGAAACTTGGCCTTCATTGATCGATCGAGGCAAACCTCGTTTACATAAGCTTGGAGAATGAGTTGGGCCAACGCCCCCAATTTTTTACCGCTCTTCATGCTTACACCTGACAAATAGCAAACGGCTGCAAAGTAGTAAAACCCCATAAAGCAATAAATTAAATAGCTCGATCCACTGCAACATGCTACCTCTAAACATGCTGAGGAATAACAGCAGTTCAGAAACAAAGATAAACAAGAACACAGGTCCCATCCGATATCGAAGAGAGTATAGACCACAGATAAATACTGAATATATGAAAATAGGAACTACCCAGAAAACATAGCTCCCGTAGTTTAGATATAGCTCAGTTTCAATAGGCCACTGCTGAGTAGCTGACTCATCAAACCACTGCGAAGGATAATATATAGATGTCAGCCAGCGACTGATATCGTGCAGATATTCATCAGAGGGCACCCCCACGAAAGTCATCCATTTATTAAACGGGTAGCTCACCGTCAAAAAAAAGTCAGGTGGCATATCCCGCAAAATCATATCGTGTAAAAAAATGGTATTAAAGTAACTTAAAAAATACTCAAGCAACATTTCAGGTGTACTGTAAAAACCATTTGATCGAAAATACATCGCAAAGCTGAAAGCGAACACAAATCCAAGAAATATGAATACACCCTTTTTTAGGGTAAAACTCATCGCACTCAGCCATGGAATACTAAAGAAAATAGTAAAATAAAATATCCTGCTTTTAACACCTTGAATATAAGCACAGAAAATTAGCACCACAATTACTGACATTACAAGCAGCCAATTAACATGACGTTGTGTGCGCCAATAGAAACCCAGTACGAACGCGAGAAAGTTAGAGCTCATGATGAGCAAAAAATTAATTAGACCGAAACCTTTCTTATTACCAAGATACGTTTCACTGTAGTTACCAAACCAAGCATCCGCGCCGCCAGTTACCTGAAAAAAATACGAACTCCCTAAAAAAACCAGTAGCGCGAAAACGAACAATAGCGCCGGATTTACCCGGTATTGTAAAAATAAATCTTCAGCAGACCCTCGCTTGAGAATCACCTCAAAAAAACGCGTGAAAAAAAAGAACAGGGTAAATACATAACCAAATGACAAAATCGCTTCATCAGAAATTTTGGACCAATCGTTGGTTTTTCCCCAAGGCAATACGTATGTCCAATTCAACCACTCCAGCACATAGAACAATATGCTTGGAAAAACCAGATAGAGAAAGTAACTACCGAATACAACGTTTGAAGGACATAACACTTCCTTGTTTCTGCAAACAAGGAACATTAGGACGATTAATCCAGCCACCCAAAAAATCATCTGAGGTTCCACGTACCGTTGTCAGCATCCTCAAAAGAAAGCGCGTCTTTCACAGCTGCATACACAAGTTCATTTCCTAATCCGTTCAAATGATGGTTATCACTTAAAAAAATGTCATCAGTCGCTTCAGCATAGCACCGTGTCAAAAAGCCACTGGAAAATCTCGCCTCCAGCAAATCATTATATTCTTTTACAGCCCCGAGGATCATTGGATTTTTCTTTATATATGCCTTTGATGGCGGTGCAATGGGCACAACCAACACTTTCGAATTTGGAAAATTTTGCTGTAACTGCTTAAGATTTTCGCTGAACTGCTCGGACTTTACATAACGAATACCACGCTTGACGATTAGCCAGGAATAGTTCCGCTTCACCCAACGATGAATCAGGCGACTAAGAAATCCTGGCATCCTTAGCATTAACGAGAGCTCGGCCTTTTTTAACGCACGCGGATAGCAGTCGACAATACCGACTTGAACAACGACCACATCAGCTTCAATCGCCTTATAGTAACCAGTCACTAGCGACATCAACTGGTCTGTGTCCATGCCTGGTACGCTGACAATTCGAAACCGACAATATTTCGAGTATCGATCAGCAAGGCGATAGGTCCAACACTGTTCATCATTAATGAATTCAGGCACTACCCTCGGCAGTCCAAGCGAATCAGTTAGTATGAGTATTTTTTTCATACTTGGCCCTCAAGCCTATTCTTTTCAGCAAGTAGACAATCAAAATCCCCACAAGCGCAGCATTCAGGAGAGGAAGAAAAATTAGCATCGTCGAGCCGATGAAGAGATAGCTGTAAATAAAAGAAAGAGACAGCCCCAGCACCATTAATCCTAAGTAAGCGACGGCTAAAATACGCTCTAGTCTTTGGGCTAGATAGAAGTTACAAACTATCCCAAGGCACACCAGCATAGTCTTAACAGCCAACATCGATACAAGGATACCTAGAAGCCCCCAGCTAAATCGATGGAAAAATAACAAAAATACGGTTATCGCCAACACAAACGCCAATGCTACTCCAAATAAACAAGTCATGTATTTGGAGGCCATTGACTTAAACTCGGCTTGATGCTCGCCTCCCTTTCCGCTAAATCGGCTCAGCAGTCCAGGCGTAAAATAGTACAACACTGAAGTCATACCGAGAAAGTAAATATTCGTAAGAACATCTACATACTGAAAGTCGGCCCTTATTTTTTCAGCGGCATCCAATGCGTTCAATACAAGCCGATCCGAGGTCAACACCACCACCAACCCACTGGCCATCAGAAATAAGTATTTAGACGAACTTAAGATCTTAAAAAATAGCTCACGCATCAAAACGGGAGAAGGCCGGATGGTGCTCAGTGTAAATAAACAGAATATGTAGAGCGAGCATACAACCAATGAAGCGCCCCCCGCCCAAGCACTGAAAAATCTGACTTCAAGTGCCATATCCCCTTTCAACCAGGTTAGAACGGAAAATGAAAGAAAAAACACGGATGCCCATGCCACGTTGAGGGTGTTGAGCAAATTTTCCATTCCCTTCAGCCTGAACACTGTCTGGCAAGATGTCTTGAGGTGATTGATGCCGCCAATAAACAACCCGACCATCAAGTAAAAATTATTTCGGACAATGATTGCCGAGAGAACAAGTAAAACTGCAATAAACGCTGAGAAATAAAGCTCCAACCTTAAGATATTTTCCTTCTCTTCGCCATCTGCGCAAATCGCACCGTCCCGTATTGCGCCATTATGAAAGCCCAATGCCAGAAAGGTACTATAGGAAATGACAATAAACGTAATACTCGAATCTGCGAGTACCTGCTGGTTGGCAAAATTAGTGAAGAATAGAGTCAGCAAAGCGACCAACGAAAACTCACTGTAGGTTGCTAAGACATACTTGATTGCGCCCGCTCGATTTCCCACGCTCATTGGGTTATAACGCCAGGCAGTATTGCAGTTGAATCAATCATAAGCGGCAATACGCGCATAAAGCTTACTATTATTCAAGTGCTCTGTTAATGAACATAGATTCGCTTCATCACAGTTTAAAAAATTAACTACTTGTAAATATAATCCCGGCTTGTACAGTACGTCCAGCTCAACATCGACATCTACCACCCCTATCTCAACACTGTTAATTTTCTGGACTTGCAACTTTTCCAGTGGTTTAAAAATAAAACGTCGTTTGCGAGTTAGTACTTCTACCGCCCAACGGCCCGGCGCCTCCCAGTCACCCGCATAAGAAAACAATGCACCCTGCTCGGTTACTCCTGCACCGGCAAACCTAGCGGCCCGACTGTGCCACGGCAAACTACCACCAGTGAAGGTAGCAATTTCTCGAGGTGTCCCCCCCAGATAGAAGGCCAAGTCAGTAATATGGCTAGTATTGGCAAAAAACCAGTTTTCCTTAACCCCATCAGCTTTATTGATTTTTTGGATGGAGTCAGCCCACTCGGTGAGCTCAAAACTGAAGCTGATAACTCCACCATCTTCCTCGATCAGTTCACGTGCCTTGATTACCGTAGCGAGGAAGCGACGGTTGTAAGCAATATAAATAGAAGCAACGTTTACCTGAGCAAGGGTTTGGAGGCGCTCGATAGCCTCTAGCGTCATTCCGCCCGGCTTTTCCACCAACAGATGTTTCACCCCATTTTCCACGAGACATGCCGTAGTGCGCTCCAACTGCTCGACACTGACAGCGACTATTGCATGACTTATAGATTGCGCAGAAGAGAGAAATACCTCGATACCTCCTACAAACGGCTGAATGCCAATGCTGGCATTAAACCGGTCTGCTGATTGCTGGCTCCGCCCTACCACTGTGAAAGGCTTGCCCATACCTTGCAGCACTTTCGCGTATTGGATGGCCATTGGGCCGGCACCGACTAATAGAATCATGGGTAACCTAAATCAAGTAATTGGGCAAAGGGTGTGCGCGCACCCGTCTTGCTTGTTGAAAAACTCGAGCATCCCTTGCAAGAATGGCGCATGTAGCGAAGCGGACTCGCTGAAAGGAGTCAATTCGCAGGAACTAATCCTTCCTACGAATAACTGACTGCCAACCCTGTGGGACAATTGGCTCTGATAAAGCACTGAGAATGGTAGTACTTCCTGTGCTCCGGTCTCCTTCGTCAGCAATGTGCACTCTCCCATCACCTCGTTGACGTTGATAATAAATCGCTCTGTCTCGATCAAGATGCTCAAGGGTACCGCGTCGATACCTGCAAAAGACGTTAACGAAAAATCTCGCTCCCCAGAACCGCCCTTCAATGTGCCTGATACTTCCTTATAACCAAAACGCTTGCTTTCAACAACGGTATTGTCCAGGCCAGAAGTGTCGAGCACGTAGCTCTGTTCCCCACCGAGCATAGCCCATAGATCGATAAAATGAATGGCATTGCACGCTAGCCCCCAGTCGCTACCCGAAACTTGAAGGTTAAACTTCCGTTCATCTAACAGACGCGCTCGCAGCGCGAGGTAAATGGGAAACATACGACGCGGGCAATTTACCCATGCTTTCGTCTCCACAGAAAGTAGAAGTCTACTTGCCTCCTCTAATTGCGCGACAGACTGGAATAATACTTTTTCAAGTATTAACTGCCCCACACGCGCATGGGATAACAAGGCCTTGAGAACCTGCAAGCGACAATTCGCATTTGTGGCAATAATACAGAAGTCGATGTCACGTTTTACTTCCGTAAAATCTGTCAGAAAATCAATGGACTTTATATGTTGAGATTTAACAACCTGCCCCCAGCGTTCCTGTGCCAATTGAAGAGCCTGCGGGGAAGGATCCACAACCTGAATAGATACATCGGAAAAATCTGAAAGTGCCAGCGCTTGCAGGTGACGACTGCCTAACTGCCCTGCACCTATTAGTAATAAATTCAACATTGTCGCACTATTACTCTATCGTGAATGTGAATTACAGGCTGAAACCATCATCAACAATGATATTTTGGCCGTTGACATATCGAGCACTGTCGGAGAGCAAAAACTTGATTGATCCGATTACATCTTTAATATCGAGCATCCCTTTCCCCAAGGTCTGCTTTTTGTATTGCTCAAGGAACTGCTCGGGTTGGTGATCAAAAATCCCGCCAGGACTTACGCTATTCGACCGAAATCCGCTATCTCCGACATAGCTGGCTACATATTTACTCATATGAAGAAGTGCAGATTTTATAGCCGCGTACTCTACGGGCATGGTCATGGGCGTACCGTCGTAGACCTCAAACTTCGGTGCAATGACACCATAGATGGAGGAAATGTTAACCAGGGCGAACGGCGCCTGCTCACGCTTGAAATACGCGGCGCACTGTTGCATGAAGAGGAAGGAAGACCCGAGATGTAGAGAAACATTCTCATTGAAATCTGCAAGTGACACATCAAAAAAATTTGAGCCGTAGCGTTTGTTCCTCGGATAAGAACAGTTGACCGCCCCATCGATGCCACTGATAGAGGCAAACAGAGCCCCTACAGAGCTCGCGTCATTGAGGTCGAGCATAATACAAGTCAGCGCGCGATTTTTGGTGTCCAAACCTTGAGACACCAAGCGTTCTTTCATCAATTCAAGATTGATGTCGGCCGCGATGACATGGGCGTGATTATTGATCAGGTCTGCTGTCAGTTTACTACCGAGCAAACCGCCCGCACCCGCCACTATAAACTTCTTACCTTCCAACATTGGTTTTCTCTTTATCAGCCAGAAGAATTTCAGCCATTTTGAAGTCATAGATATCGTCAATATCTACAGCTCTGTATCGGGGCACTACTACCGATCTGACGCGTCCCGAAAAGATACGCTCATTAGTTAAAATGAACGTTGGGGACGCCACGTAGGCCACGGTCGTCATGTCGTAGACTGCGGGGGCATCCTGACGTCGGTGAACATCGCTACCTGAACACACAAGCTCACTCACTCCGTCTGAATCTCGAACGACCATATTGAAGAAAGGGCTACGCGAAGCAGGGGTTACGGTAACGACGACATCGGTGCATGAGTCTAAACATGCGAGACATTGCTCGACATCTTCAACGCCGCGCAGTGGGCTAGTAGCAGGCAGGCTGACAAACACGTCAAACTCGTGACCTTGAGCTCGAAGATGACTGATAGCGTGGCGCCAGGCTAACCACTCAGGTGCTGTATCAGTCGCTAGCTCGTCAGGCCTCTTGATAACACTCACGCCATAGGCCTCGGCAACAGCAGCGATCTCATCTGAGTCTGTGGATACAAAAATCCTATCGATACCCCCAACTTGCTGCGCCACTCGGATTGAGTGCGCAATCAACGGGTGTCCGCCGAGCATTCGGATATTTTTACCTGGCAAACCTTTGGAGTTGCCTCGCGCGAAAATGAAGGCGTATACGCTCACGTTTGAATATCTCCGACATTGACGACCTGACCTATTGATGCGGACTTCTTCATCGCTTCGATCAGGCGAAGTGTTGCAAGACCCTCTTCAAGCCCAACTGCCGGAGCCGTCGAACCTGCAGCAACCATGGCAAAATGACGTAGCTGATCAAGGTACATAGTATTGCGATCGTAATCGGGGTCCTCAAACAAAACTTGTCGCTGATCCCTACCCGTGTGCAGGGTAATGCCATTATTCAAAATATCCCAATAAAGAGTGCCATGCTGCCCCACGACTTTGCAGACCCGTACCGGCGCTCTCTGGAGAAAATCCATATGCACGTTGATGACCAATTGGTCGTCCCGAACAAGAAGCGCGTCGACGCTGTCTTCCACATCAATTTCGAGATCGCCAGTGTGACGGATAACGCAATATGCCGTTTTAAACGAACCGAATAACCACCCGAGATAGTCGAGCTCATGACTGAGCTCCAACAGCACGCCGCCGCCCAATTCGTATCGGGCGGACACATTCTTGCGGTAGTCACTGGCAGGGCGCCAGTCGGGTAGGAACTGACCGACGTCGACGCTTACACTGCGCACCTCACCTACAGCGGCCCCTTCCAGGAGGGCCTTGAACCTGATGGCCGAAGACATGAATCGTAGATTGTAAGCGATTTCGATCTTATCCCGGTGAGCAGCCAGCACCTCACGGTAAGCTGAAAGCCGTTGCAACGAATCAGAAACGGGCTTTTCAATCAGCACGGGCACTTTCGCACACAACAACTGCGCAGCGTGCTCAGCGTGCCAGGGCGCGGGCGATGCGATAATCGCGAACAACAATTTATCCTTCAACGCAGCGTCGATGGATGAGTAGATGACTGTATCGCCCCCTACCTCATCGATAGACAACATCCTGCCCGACGCGGACACACAACCGACACGCACTGAAGCGAACAACTTTTTAATGTTGCCGATATGACGCTTTGCAATGCTGCCACTTCCAACTACCAAGCAAGTGTATTGCTCACTCATAAGGTGCCGAACTCTTGTTGAGCACGTTGAAAGTCTTCCATCCGGCCAATATCCAACCAGTACTCATGAACTGGGAACATATTGACATCGCGGCCGGCCTCTATTTCACGCTCCAGTAGCGTCGGCATGTCTACACGGTTACCAGCGGCCACACTTTTCACCAGTTCGGGTGATAATAGGTAAATACCGGCATTGATAAAGAAACGCTGAATCGGCTTCTCTATCATTGAAAGAATTCGATGCCCCTCGTTCTCAATGACACCATACGGTACGCAATACTCATATTCGCGCACGCACATGGTTGCTGAGCCTGGGTGCCCATCATGAAATTCTAGGAGGTTTTCAAAATTGAGCGTTGTCAACAGATCGCCATTCATGAGAAACAGCGGAAGATCAATCTCATGATGTGGGAGCAATCCCAGCGCCCCACCCGTCCCCAAAGGCTCATCTTCATGGACATAGCGAATCGACACGCCCCATTGGCTGCCGTCCCCGAAATGATCTCGGATCATCTCTGGCATGTAATGGGTCGAGATAAAAAAACGGTGAAATCCAGAACTGATAAAACGCTCGAGAATCAATTCGAGAATTGGCTTCTCGCCTACCTTGAGCAGCGGCTTTGGACAGTTTTGTGTCAGAGGACGTAATCGAGTACCGAACCCTCCAGCCATAAGAAATACAGGGTTATCGCGCCGCTGCCGGTTCAAAAGATCATGCAATGTTTCAAGGCCAATAACTTTCCCACTGAGGTCTACGACCGGTAATTGCAGTAACTGGTATTTCTCCATTACCGCCAAGATTCGGTCTCGATTCCAGTCCAGGCCGGCTGTTCGCGGCGTGGTACACATGAATTCCTTGATAGGCGTCGTCAGCGGTCGCTGTTTCAACAATGCGCGTCGTACGTCGCCATCGGTCAGAGTGCCTAACAGATGACGTTGCTGATCAACAATGATGACAATACGCACCGCAACCCGATCAAGCGTCGCGATGGCCTCCTCCATTGAGCACTCTGGACCGACGAGCGTTAACTCCCACTGCTTCATTGCTTACCTTCTTTACGTTTCTCGTCGGGAACGGATTTGGAGCGAGCCGTGGGCCCTAATAAAATACTGTCGGCCGGCAAGTCACGAACCATGACCGTCCCGGCGCCGACGACCGCGCACTCGCCCAGCACTAGCCCTTGAATTACTGTTGCACCGGCACCTACAAATGCACCGCTGCCTATTTGAACATTGCCGCACAGTGTAGCGCCGGGTGCGATGTGCACATGGGCAGCCACGTTGCAATCGTGATCCACGCTAGCCCCGGTATTGATGATGGTATTACATCCGAGGGTCACATCCGGCTGGATAACGGCGCCCGCCAGTATCTGAACTCCCTGGCTTAGAACAGCGGACTCATCAACAAACGCCGTAGGGTGCACAAGTGGAGGAAATTGAAATCCCTTGCTCACTGCCGATTCATAAAGGACTCGTCGAAGATTACTCCCCACTACCTGACCGATGCCATTTATCAGACCAACGCGCGTACGATCAAGCTGGTCCAACGCCTCATCTCCACCCAACACGGCGAGCCCGCGCCATTCAAAGACGCCCAAACGATGAAGTTCTGGATCACAGACGCCGATTACGTGCAGGCCAGAAGCGTTGGCGAGTGAAAGCAATACTTTCGCATGCCCTCCGGCACCGAGCATCACTAGGTGCCGTAATGTGCCTAATGACTGGCTCATTACTTGATGATCTCACCGGCTTGCACTGCAAACTCGCTACGGGTGCCAACCAGTTCCCATAACGCAGCGGCCGGAAAACCTGAGTCGGCGCGAGCGGTTGTCAAATCGTCCCTGCCAATGATCGAGCCTTTTGCAATATCACGCGCCGCCACAACCTGCTGGCGTGCAGCTCTGCGGGTGTCCCACTCGCTGGGCTGAGGCGCCTTGCAGGCGTCGCCTAATGCCAACTCCAGCACGCGGATCTGGCTGATCATCGCCTTTAATTCATCAGGCTCAAGTGAGGCCTTGTGATCTGGCCCCGGCATGGAGCGATCCAGCGTGAAATGCTTTTCGATGACCTTGGCGCCTCGCGCTACTGCCGCGACGGAAATCAAGCCGCCTTCTGTATGATCAGAATAACCAACTGCCAGATCGAACGCCCTTAGCGTATCCATTGCTCGCAAATTCACTTCCCCCCAGGGCGTAGGATACTGGGAGGTACAATGTAACAACGTGACATGCCCTTTGAGGCGCGTCCGTGCCTGCGGCTGACTCCAGTTTTTCCAAACCTCGTCCAGGTTCGCGGGTTCTCGGTCAGTTGCCAAAGCATGTGCGACGATAGCAAGGCCCTGTTCAACCTCGCTCAATGTAGCCATGCCCGTCGATAGCACAAGCGGCTTTCCAGTATGCGCAAACTGCCACAACAATGGGCCATTCGTGAGTTCACCGGAGGGCACCTTGAAAAACGGTAGATTCATCTCACATAAAAACTTCAGGCTATCGGTGTCGAACGCCGTAGAGATAAATTCAATGCCGCTGCGATGCGCATGCGCCTGAAGATCCGCGTGCCATTCCTTGGGCAACTCGAGCTTTTTAAGCATGGCAAGCTGGCTTTCTGCCGCGTCGGTTGTCTGCTTTTGGTAAGTGGCCTTGGGAGCGGACTTCGACGCCAGGCGAGCGGCATCAAAAGTTTGAAACTTCACAGCATCAGCACCCGCTGCGGCCGCCGCGTCAACGAGGGCAAACGCAAGATCACGCTCACCGTTATGGTTAACGCCTGCCTCAGCGATGATGTAGACCGAGTCGTGGTTGGATGCTTTCATGGTTTAGCTCAAATCGTGAAATGATTTGTGGTATTCCCCATTGAAACGCTCGAGGACGTCCACGATGCAACGCGCAGCATCGCCGGCGCCGTAGGGGTTAACCGCCTGTTTGCAAGCTTCAGCGAACACGTTAGTCAGTGCTAGGTGTACTGCGCCCGCAATGGATTTGGCGTCAGGCGAGCAATTGATAACCGAGGCTGAGGATAAACGCCCGGCCTGTCGTGCACCTATATTGATCGTCGGTACGCCAAAAGCTGGTACTTCGATAATGCCACTCGAGGAGTTGCCTACAACAGCGTCAGCCAGAGCGACCACGCTGAGATATCGCCGAAATCCGAGCGAAGGTATGGCTTTCACGCGGTCGGGGCTGCGCTGCGCGTACTCCTCCAGCAGGGGAATTATCGCGCGCCCCCCATTATCGGCATTGGGATAGGTGATAATGACCTTGTGCCCTGGAAACTGATCAAGAGCCGATAACAACGCGTTAAAGCTTTGGATCGGATCTTCTTCGGACAAAGTAACCGGATGATAAGTCACCAACAGGAACGGCCTATCCAACTTGAAGTCCAGACTCTGCGACAATTCGTCTAGAGTCATTCGCGGACTGCGTAGTAGATGATCCAGCCCCACGGCACCTACATTAAACACACGCTCAGGTGACTCCCCCATCTGAATCACACGCTGCCGATACGGTTCGGTGGATACAAAGTGGAAGAATGCCATCTTGGTGATAGCGTGTCGGATCGCGTCGTCGTAGGCACCCTCGGTAATCTCGCCACCATGAAGATGCGCAACTGGAATCTTCATGATCAATGCCGCCTGCACGATTGCAAGCGCTTCAAACCGATCCCCCAGCACAATCAAGATGTCAGGCCGCAACCGGTCCAGCGCGTCGGCAAAGCCCAGCGTGCCGAGGCCCATCGACTTGACAACACCAACGTCGGTGTCAGAAGACAGAAGCATTTCTACTTTTGCATCAATGGTGAACCCGTCGGCGTCTATACCTTTCCAGGTTTCACCAAACTCAGGCGAGAGGTGCATGCCACTTACAATCACTTGCAGCGTCATGCTCTCGCTGGCTTGAATGTCTTTCATCAACCAATAGAGCAAACCGTACTCGGCGCGCGTGCCGGTGAAAACGGCAACGCTACGCTTCAAACCTGCAACTCCGGCACAACGCTACTCGGCAAATTCACGACCCGCTGCTCAAGCCATAACGCATTGGTCAAGTCACCTTGCAGGCAGGAAGAGTACGCCTCTAAATGACTCATCAGCTTCCATATCGGTCGCGTCATGACACCAGCCTGATTGCTGAAAGCCAACAACTCGTCGCGCTGCTTGAGGTCCTCACAGATCACTGCATTAAGCCAATAGTTGGAACGACACCCTTGGGGTTCTACAACGAACTGGAGAGGGCCACCTTCTAAGAATGACTGGTAACGGCTCGCAAGAAAACGCTTTGCGGCCACAAAGGAGTCTAACTGTTCAAGCTGAGCACATCCTAAAGCCGCGTTGAGGTTGGGCAAGCGATAGTTGTAGCCCACCTCATCATGGACGTACTCATAAGGGTGAGCTTTTTTCGCAGTGGTGGTCAGATGCTTTGCCCGTGCCCCCAGCGCCTCATCAGTCAAAATCATGCCACCACCACCTGTAGTGATGGTTTTGTTCCCATTGAAACTCAATGTACCAACAGCGCCAAATGTTCCTGTGTGACGCCCTTTATAGAGGCTACCTAAGGACTCGGCAGCATCCTCGACCAGTATCATCCCCCAGCGCGCGCAAACTTGAATCAACAAGTCCAACTCCACAGGGTGGCCAAACGTATGCATGGGCAGGCAAGCACGAATCACCCTGCCGTCACTTTTGACCCGGCATATGCCATCGTCATCCAGATACGCAGAGTCCTCCAGCCAGCGCTCCATGGCTACCGGAGACAGCCCCAGTGTGTGCTTGTCGACATCAATGAACACGGGGTCGGCACCGCAATACGCAATGGCATTACACGTCGCCACGAAGGTGAGCGGCTGAGTTAGCACCAAATCACCGGCCTTGACACCGGCCAGCATCAAGGCGATGTGCAAGGCCGCAGTGCCGTTGACGGTCGCCACTGCTCGCGGACTGCTGGTATAGGCTTCCATGTCTCGCTCGAATCGATCAACAAAAGCACCAACGCTGGAAACAAACGTCGAATCTATGGTTTCGTTAACGTAGCGTTTTTCGTTCCCACCAAATATTGGCGCATGCAGAGGAATGAACTCATTGGTGCGGTATTGCTCCCGCACAAATTTCACCAGAGAGTCGAGCATGACGGCGCCTCAGACGTTATAGAGATCGGCTTTGTATTTGGCCAGGTTTTCAGGCCGAGTAAACCAATCAATGGTTTCTTGTAGCCCTTGGCGGATCGAGTACTGCGGCTCGAATCCGGTAAGGCCCTGAATCTTGGTATTATCACACCACAATCTGAACACTTCCGATTTTTCAGGGCGCAGACGCTGATCATCCATCAGGAACTCGACATCACTGCTCATCAACTCACGTATCAGCTTCAGCGTATCCCCCACAGTGATTTCAAAGTTGGAGCCGATATTGACGATCTCGCCGACAGCCTTGTCGCAGCGTAGGAGTTCGAGAAAGCCGCGGCAGGTATCAGCAACATAGTTGAAATCACGGGTGGGTGAAACATCACCGAGCTTGATCTGCCTCTTACCACTGGCAATTTGTGTGATGATTGTAGGAATGACAGCACGTGCAGATTGGCGAGGCCCATAAGTGTTGAATGGACGAGCAATGGTCAGAGGCAAATCAAAGGCGTTGAAAAAGCTCATGGCCATTGCATCGGCCCCCATCTTCGAGGCGCTGTAAGGTGACTGCGGCTGGAGTGGGTGGTTCTCATCGATAGGGACGTACTGAGCGGTGCCATAGACTTCGCTGGTAGACGTGTGGATCACCCGCTGCACACCGTTATCAATCGCAGCCTGGCAAATATTCAGAGTGCCTTTGACATTAGTGTCCACATAACTATCGGGTGCTACATATGAATACGGAATAGCGATTAAGGCAGCAAGGTGAAAAACCGCGTCAACATCTTTGGTGATGTGTTTGCAATAATGCGGATCACGTACATCACCGTTCAATACTTCAATATCTTTCAGACAGCTGACATCCTCAAGCCATCCCCAATAGTTGAAAGAGTTATACTGAGACAACGCCTTGACTTTGTACCCTTCCCGAACCAAGAGCTCCGTCAGGTGCGATCCAATAAATCCATCTGCCCCGGTCACCAAAACTGTCTTCATCACTTCACCTTAACTTTAAACCTAACTGCGGCATAATTTCGCTATGTGGCACGAGCAAAATATGGATCCCACGCCAACAACGCATGCATTCACCGCTTGTTTAATCTAGGAATGCACGGAATTTTGTCTACCGACAATTTACAGACTTTGCCCCCATAAAACTAGCATTTAGGCTCCCCAGCGCCTGCCGAACGAGGACCAGCCTAGCTTCAGAAGCCACTCTCACGCCTCAGCCAACCGAAAAGCCAACCCATGACTTAGAGAAAGCACACATCAAGATGCCACCACCCATACTGCCATCGTCGGCGATAGATCCGGAGTGCAAGCACCCTCTATCACATTGAAAATCCATGCATAAACAACTAAAAAAGTTTTCAACAAAAAACCTGATCACCAACCAAATTTTAAAAAACACTCAACAATTACAAGAACGACAATCTCAGCAACATAAGAAACCAGAAAGATCACAACCCACCAAAAGCCAAACCCAACTCGTTAAAATATTTCCCAACTTACAATCACCACCAATAAGAAAATCCCAAGACCGCACCCAACACAAACAGACCAGCACATACACTCTGCAATTGCACAAAGCCGACAAATAAAAATACATTAAAACCACGAGCACGACGCTCCGCACTGCCAGCGGCGCACTTTGAGATATTCGGTAGCCTACCTCATCGCAGCACTACTCCGGCGGAGAGGCACCCCACCCGAGTGACTCAGCATTTAGCGACCCCGCGGTAACGGCGCACCACGCGGCTAGCGATTCGAGGAAACTGACCGGCGATGGGCCCTACGCCGAAATACAATACCAAGAAGCGGCCCGATCAGGAGACCGACAACCAAGGAGAGCGTAATAAAGACAGATACTGGAATTTGCGGAGTGACCAAACCCAGGAAGGAAAGCGTTTGAACTTGCTGGTTTTCCAGCACAAACACCAAAACACTGAACGTAAGCAAAAGCAAAATTATCACCAGCAGAGCTCGCTTAGCTTGATACATACTCCCCTCCTAATCAAAATCCACTCAAACACCCTCTTCCTCATCCTCATTCACCCGATCCCGCAATTCCTTCCCCGGCTTGAAATGAGGCACAAACTTCCCATCCAGACTCACCGACTGCCCAGTCTTCGGATTCCGCCCCACCCTCGGCGCGCGATAGTGCAGCGAAAAGCTCCCAAACCCACGGATCTCAATCCGATCACCCGTCGCCAGGCATTGGGACATTTGTTCAAGCATAGTCTTGATAGCCAGCTCCACATCCTTGGATGAGAGCAGCCCTTGATGGGTGACAATTCGTTCGATCAACTCCGACTTCGTCATATTTTTCCCTTCTTTTTCAAGCAGCTAGGAAAAGCGCTTCGAAGGTTTTAGCATGACTTGATGAATTTGAACAGCCCGCCAGACAACTTATCTGCAGGTTAGATGGCAACTTGCTATAGGCGTATTCCATCATCAATTACAGATCACCAGCATGGTACGGGTGACGGCGCCGGCGGGGTTCCAGCCGAACAGGTAGTCGCCCTCTTCGTCCGTGGCGTCACTGGACCTGGTGATGACCTTATAGCCCTGCATTTTGCACTCTCGGGCCGCGCGCTTCTCGCACTTCTCCCATTTGTTACCCAAGCCCGAACAATCGATCTCGATGCCGCTGACGCCGCGTTTGGCGTGGGTCTTGGCGCTGGTGGTGGAGCAGCCTGCGAGCATGACCACTGCGAGTATTACGATAAGCCTGTTCATTCCATTCCTTATTGAAGCGACAACACAAGAACCGCTTTTTTTCTTAAGACTATAGTCAGTTCTGACACTGAGCTATACGGCTTGGTTCTTGGTGTTAATTCAACGAATTTCAGGCACAAAAAAGGGCGACCGAAGCCGCCCTTTTTCTATGGTCTGACAGAACTTAGTTCTGTTTTTCCATTTGTGCACGCAACAGGTCGCCCAGAGTGGTAGGACCAGCAGCGATGCTATCCGAGGGCTTGTCTTTCAAGCTTTGGATGGCTTCTTTCTCTTCAGCATCGTCTTTCGACTTGATGGAGAGCTGGATTACACGGCTCTTGCGGTCAACGCTGATGATCTTGGCTTCTACTTCCTGGCCTTCTTTCAGAACGTTACGCGCGTCTTCAACGCGGTCACGGCTGATTTCGGAGGCTTTCAGAGTCGCTTCGATATCGTCGGCCAGAGTGATGATGGCGCCTTTAGCGTCAACTTCTTTCACAGTGCCCTTAACGATTGCGCCTTTGTCGTTGTCCTGAACGTATTCAGAGAACGGGTCGCTTTCCAGTTGCTTGATACCCAGGGAGATACGCTCGCGCTCTGGGTCAACCGACAGGATAACGGTGTCCAGCTCGTCGCCCTTCTTGAAACGACGAACAGCTTCTTCGCCCACTTCGTTCCAGGAGATGTCGGACAGGTGAACCAGGCCGTCGATGCCGCCGTCCAGACCAATGAAGATACCGAAATCGGTGATCGACTTGATGGTGCCGGAGATTTTATCGCCCTTGTTGAACTGGCCAGAGAAATCTTCCCATGGGTTAGATTTGCACTGCTTGATGCCCAGGGAGATACGACGACGCTCTTCGTCGATGTCCAGAACCATAACTTCCACTTCGTCGCCGACTTGTACGACTTTCGAAGGGTGGATGTTTTTGTTGGTCCAGTCCATTTCGGAAACGTGTACCAGGCCTTCCACGCCTTCTTCCAGCTCAGCGAAGCAGCCGTAGTCGGTCAGGTTGGTAACACGCGCGGTAACGCGAGTGCTTTCTGGGTAACGGGCTTTGATAGCAACCCATGGATCTTCACCCAGTTGCTTCAGGCCCAGGGAAACACGGTTGCGCTCGCGATCGTATTTCAGAACCTTGACATCGATCTCGTCGCCAACGTTGACGATTTCGGAAGGATGCTTGATACGCTTCCAAGCCATGTCGGTAATGTGCAGCAGGCCATCCACGCCACCCAGGTCGACGAATGCGCCGTAGTCGGTGAGGTTTTTGACGATACCTTTGACTTGTTGGCCTTCCTGCAGGGATTCCAGCAGAGCTTCACGCTCGGCGGAGTTCTCTGCTTCCAGGACGCTGCGACGGGAAACGACAACGTTGTTGCGCTTCTGGTCGAGCTTGATGACCTTGAATTCGAGTTCTTTGCCTTCCAGGTGCGTGGTGTCGCGCACAGGACGAACGTCGACCAAAGAACCTGGCAGGAACGCACGGATGCCGTTAACGTCGACAGTGAAGCCGCCTTTAACCTTACCGTTGATAACGCCCTTGACCACTTCTTCAGCTGCGAAGGCTGCTTCGAGAACAATCCAGCATTCAGCGCGCTTGGCTTTCTCACGGGACAGCTTGGTTTCACCGAAACCGTCTTCAACCGAGTCCAGAGCAACGTGAACTTCGTCACCGACATTGATTGTCAGATCACCAGCATCGTTGTAGAACTGTTCCAGCGGGATCAGAGCTTCAGACTTCAGACCAGCGTGAACGGTTACCCAGCGAGCTTGGTAATCGATATCAACGATAACACCGGTGATGATGGAGCCTGCCTGAAGGTTCAGGGTTTTTAGGCTTTCTTCAAAGAGTTCCGCAAAGCTTTCGCTCATTTTAATTCCTGTTGATAAGGGCGAAGAATACGCCCATCTCCACACCCCAGACGGTGTGGGTCAGTTTCAGTTAAAAGAAGCCACCGCAGGACTATGACTGGTCCCCTGCGGCCTTCTTGATCACCCGGTGATATCGCGAATGGCGATTTCACTCAAGATGCGTTCCAGCACCTGCTCGATGGACAACTCCGTGGAATCCAGCTGTATGGCATCAGCCGCCGGTTTGAGCGGGGCTACTGCGCGCTGGGTATCACGCTCATCGCGTGCACGGATCTCATCTAGCAGACTCGACAGACTAACACCATCGACTTTGCCCTTCAACTGCAAGTAGCGGCGGCGAGCCCGTTCCTCGGCGCTGGCGGTCAGGAAAATCTTCAATGGCGCCTCGGGAAACACTACGGTTCCCATATCACGGCCATCAGCCACCAGGCCCGGCGGCTCTTGAAAAGCCCGCTGACGCTGCAGCAGCGCATCACGCACGGCCGGCAGCGCGGCAACCTGGGACGCCCAGGAGCCGACCTGCTCGTTGCGCAGGTCATCCGTCACATCGTCCCCTTCAAGGAT